GGGGTGATTCTGCAGCAATTAAGCTGGGAGGTGAGGGTGACCTGGACTCAGGTCGGCTAGAGCTGGTACTCATGTGGGGTTGTCCACCCCAGAGAGGCTGTATGTCTCCGGGACTCAGGCAGAGGACTAGGTCTGTGTTTCAGTGTTCCCGTGTCTTCAACTTCAACTTTGCTATTTGGAAGCTGGATTTTGGAGTCAAACATAATACCTTTTGACCCCTACTTCCGTCACTAACTAGCAATCTGCTCTGGGGTTGGCCACTGACAGGGGCAGTAGGTGTCAAACCTGGAGCACCTGGCCTTCTACCTGATCCCTGCAGCCACCGTATGCTGGGCCAATGACTATGGCGACCTCTAATACGAGCCGTGGCTTCCTTTTGCCTCCTCAAGATAGGCTGTCAGTTTTCTTTCCTGGGAGCCTGATTCCACTACTCCTGGAGGCTTCCCCTCTGACCAGTCCTGTGTCTCTCTTTCCTACTGCCATCGCCCAGAGCAAGGTGCCAGTGAGCTGCCTCTTCTCTCCTTGCACAGCCGGACCCTGCCCTAGCGCCTGGGCCAGGCTGAGAACACAGCACCCAACTCATCTTAGAGAATGCCAGCCTCCCTCTCTCCCATTTTCATCATCTGGTCAACTCAGCGCCGTCAGGCCCAGTGGCAGGAGGATTGGGTCCGCCTAGTCTAACAGCACAGGTAGAAGGAGCGACCTCAATGATGGTCGGCCATTTGAGCTCAAGCCCCAGCTCTGCCAGTGACGATGGTGTCTGAAGATCCCTTAGCTTCTCCACGCGTCCTCTTTCCTATCTATTCAGGTTCAGCCATCTGTCACCTTGTGCATGCCAGCTCTGACATTCTAGGATTCTGCCCGAGTTCTATTTTCATACCCTCGGAGGTGGTGCTTTTGGGGGCTCAGATGTGAGTTTTCACAGCGGTCGGCGTGCAAGGTGCCTGACACCTTTAAAAATAGGGCTGCTGCCCGGATATCGAGGAACGGCATGGGAGGTGGGAGGTTCCTTGGGGGCCATCTGCGTGGAGTGACGTGGGGAGCACTGAGCTAAGGACAGTGGCCAGCACTGCCCAGAAAGAGCAGGTTTTCTCTCACCGAACACAACATTCAAAATACAAGCACATGCTCCTGCTGTGGTGGCTGCGGGCAGCTGTCACACCTGGGGTCCCGATGGACACCCTGGTTCTGGAAGGAATCCAAAGTGAGAGTTGGCTTTTGATGACTGTCCAATGGGCAGGGAGAACCACCTCGCTGGGTCTCAAGCAGGACATTTGATGTTGTCCCTGAGGCCCAGAGGCGCAATCATGGTAAAGAAAGACACCATCTCCCGACTTTCAGCTTGCATTCTGTCGCACAGGACAAGCTAATTAACCAATCCTGTAATTATCTTGAGATAAAGACAGTTGTATCCCACGGTATGTGTGTAATAAAATACCATTTCTTAAATACAAACATATGAAATAGTCTCCAATTCTCATAACCTTGTTTTGGCATTTCTTCATTATTTTTAACATATGGGACCCTTAAAATATATGAGTGGCGGGGCTTTTTGTGACCTTTCAGATCAAGTCTTATCTGGGTGCTTCTTCTTTTTTTTTTTTTTTTTGTTTCTCCATTAGATTCAAACAGTGACAAAGAAAGTCCTGGTGGCACCTGAGTCAGAGGAGACCAATGCAACCAACGCTGTTGTCTCCCTGTTGAACGAGACTGTGACGGAGGCTCCCGAGGAAACTCAGATGGTTATCAAAAAGGGCCTGGAGTTCAAGGACGGGATGAATGTCTTAGGTAGGCAAACTGATGGTGCGGGTTCCTGGTCCAGGGAGGCGCCTCTGCCCGCTGGACGCAGCCTTACCTGTGGTTCAACCTCCTCCTCTCAGCAGCTCCACCTCCCTCACACCTTTTCAGAAAATTAACTCTGCTGACCTCTAGGTGGAGCAGGAGGCTCTCTCTGAGGAGCAACCTGAGTTTCTCTGGGACTGGAAGCTGATAAGAGCAAGGGGAACCGGGCTAGCAGTCAGGTGTGGGAAAGAGGAGGGGGCTGACATTCCCTGGGCTCATTCCCTGCCTCTCTGATGTTGGCAAGTGATCTTATCTGAATCTCCATGTTATTCTGTGACACATGCATTTCTGCCTAAGTGTTGTTTGGTGCTGCCTGTCTGTACCAGTGCTGTGCTAGACAAGGTGTCCTCCAGTCTGTAAACAAATGCAAAGCTACCAGTATCTTGGAGTATTGGAGTAGGGCCCCAGGAGCTTTGCAGATGATCTGTTTAACTTTCTGGGATTCCAGGGAGCGCTTACTGCCAACCAGGTGCCTTCTTAGCATTCCATCCCGGGAGTTCTTTGCAGCTGGCCAGACCTGGGTTTGGACCCTTTGTGGACCGGTCATTAGTTCTCTGACTGGGCACAAGTAGCTCCACTTTTCTGAGCCTCTGTTGTAAAATGGAGATGGGATTGTCATCTCCTTGGAGGATCCTTGTCAGGGTCACATGAGATTGTATATATAATACACAATAAATAGTGCCTGCCTGTGCTCCATTCAGATGGACTATGATCCTTAATAAAAGTGGCTGAAGCCGGGTGTGGGGGCGCACACTTGTAATCCTAGCAGTTTGGGAGGCTGAGGCAGGAGGATAGCAAATTGAAAGCCAGCTTCAACAACTTAGTGAGGCCCTAGCAACCTAGTGGGACCCTGTCTGTAAATAAAAATGACAAGGACTGGGGGTGTAGCTCAGTGGTAAAGCACCCCGGGTTAAATTCCCAGTACCACAACCCCTGTAAGTGGCTAAAGAGCTGAGGAGCTCAATCAAATGCACCCCCACAGGAGATGAGATCTCCCCCAAGTTGGTAGTTATACCTTGACCAGTTTACTCTGCACTCCCCCACATTATGGGGCATGCTCCCCTTCATAATCTCCACCCACCACTAGAATGGAGTCCCTAAAGAGGAACATTTAATCATAAGAGAAATGGGGAATCTGGTTTCCTAAGCCAGGTCTTCCAAACGACACTTTGAAGAAATCAGTTGAGAGCATTTTAGATCTCAACGACCTAAGGGGGCAAATGATCCATCTCCTTGGTTGGGTTGCCAAGTTGGAATACAGGGTAACTCAATTAAATTTGAATTTTAGATAAATAATAAGTAACTTTAAAATGTAAGTATGTCCCAAATATTGCAGGGGATGTACAAATACCAAACAACAACAAAAAAGTCACTGTGTATCTGACATTCAGAATGTAATTGGGGGTCCCGTTTTTATTCTAACTCTTCTAACTTTGATATCCCTACTGCTCACCAATCAAGGTAGTGCAAAGGTAGTGCGAGCAGGACCTCTCAGTTACTGAGAAATGGGAGTGGGATCTCTTTTATTTGGCCTGGCAGGTAGCAGGTTGGGTAAGTGATTGAGGGAACAGATAAGCTGACTGGGTTGCCAGGCAACAGGAATATCAATAAACATTGTTGATCATCAGTGGGAGGGGAGGGGTGGAAGGAGAGAGGAGAAAGTGGGAGAGTTCTGAGGAGGAGGCTTTGCAAATATCCTTGGCCTGTGAGCAGCTTCCTCCAACTGCCCAGATATCCATGGCCCTTTCAGGACCTTCCCAGTGCCCCCTGGTTTCTTCTGACAGGTCATAACTGGAGACCTAACTCTTTTTTAAAAAAAAAAAAAAAAGAAAAGAAAAGAAAGAAAAAAATATTTTTCAGTAGTCGGTGAACACAATATCTTGATTTCATTTTTATGTGGTGCTGAGGATGGAACCCAGTGCCTCATACGTGCTAGGTGAGCACTATACCACTGAGTCACAACCCTAGCCCCAAGACCCAAATCTTTGTCACAGTGTCTGCCCCCCAACTCTGTAGGAGGTGGGGGTCCTGAATAACGAGGGGTCAAGGCTTTGGAGTGAATCATTCAGAGTCTTGGTGGAAAGTCACATGACCTTTGGCTGCGCTGGGGAGTTTCAACACAACTTGCAACCCTCCCAACCCCAGTGACCGGGCATCGAAGAGGGCTTTGTTCAAGTGAAACTCGCCAGTCCCAGTGAGTGATTTCAATTAGGCAATGTTTACCCAGGGAAACGACAAGTCCTTTACGGGTTTCCATCCCAGTGCAGATCAAGGCTCTGGAAGCCAAAGGAAGTTAGGCTATTGGGAAACTTCCCATGTACCAATCACGGTCGAAATAAGGTTCTTTCCATGATCTTCCAGGGGTGGAGATGGAGACTTTTTTGGTTTTGTTTTGTTTTTTTTTCCCGTCTTTCTGCTCTTTGGCTTCGGAAAGTCCCAAGGATCCAGCACATCAATCAATAAATGAAGATACAGCCCTGGCTCTGCCTCACACTCCTTTAAGGACCTGTTTCTCTCCTTTAAAAAAAAAAAAAAATCTGGGCTCCATCATAATCCTAACTGCTTAAATCAAGTCCAGTAGCTCTTTTTGAAATCTGACTTCTGACTCATACATACAGTCCCTGTTCACTGACCCAGGGGGCAGCTTTTTCATTCCAATTCTTTGGGACCTTGAGACCCCATGCATTTTTCTCTTGAAGTTTTCAAATGGCATTAACCAAGTAACACTGGGTATTCTCGGCCAGAATATCCACAGATTTATTATTTTTCACTCAGAAAACTGCTCTCCCTGGGCTTGAGAGAAGGGTTTAGGAGTAGCCTGAGATTGATCTTATACATTATTTAGAACTGCTCGGTTCTGGATCCAATCTTCCCTAAGCCCTTGTCTTTCTTGGGTGAATAACTCACATGTGAAGTCACTAGTTATGGCCAAAAGCTGAAAGGGGAGATATTAAATGCTAAACATCAGCAATTTAGAAAGCATAAGAGTTGGATTCTTTTTGCTGGAGAGAGAGAGAGAGAGAGAGAGAGAGAGAGAGAGAGAGAGAGAGAGAGAGAGGAGATTGCCACAGAGGGTAAGCTAAACAATTTGGGTAGAGATATGCTTTGTACAGAGAGGTTAGTGGTTGCAGTGACTAGGGAAAGCATGGAGTCAGAGATTCAAGGACAGAACTTGACCAAGAGAATCAAGTTATAATGCTATCATTTACCTGACATAGGTCAGGATTCCAGGCTTAACTGCACACAATAGGAAACTGGATATAATGGGGAGAGAATGGAAATAAGGGCTGCCAAACTGGGACAGGGTTGGTGTGGAGACAGAGGATAGAGGGAAGGGC